TTTGGTATCGAACCAACACCACGTTGATTCTGGTGGGAGAGTAGTGTAGTGGCATTGGACCATAACCACACAATCCTCAAAGCTGAATACGAGATTACTCAGAAAATAGATATTCAATATTTAACGCAAAGAAATACCTAACGATGGAGAAGGCGCGACTAATGAATTGAATAGACTAGAGTTGATCGAACGGCATGGTTCGGCCATGCAGGCGTGGTCTCTGCTGAATGTTACCTTATATCTTCTATTCATATTAAATATATTGTTCTTTCTCTAGCCTAACCTTGTTCTACATCACGTATTGGTAATTGATACGATACAGTGAGTTGGTGCAGTCGATGGTGTGACTTCCACGTAAGATCTTATAGATTAGACAGTCATATCATGATAAATCTACAGATTTAAGATTAGGTCTATTATTAGAGCAGTACTAATATCATAGTAGATTATAATTCTACAAGGTACTCACACCTATCCGCGTATTTGAGAGTGGAATCACATCCTCGCAATCGGCATGTGAAGCATCTTTGGATATCTCCTCCTCTTAACTTGTATGTGGTATTCATGTTTGAGAAAATGAAGGAGAGATATTCAAGATAGGGTCCTATACATATTTTGTTCAGTTTAAGCTTAGCCGCTGCTATGAAGAAAATTTTCATTGTTTCATCAATTAGCCGTCTAGATTTATAAATAATAAAGGAGGCATTTTCTTCGAATTTTAGGATTCATGTGTAACTGATCGTGCAGTAATCTAAGTGTTTGAACCCCACTTTTGCTCAAAGAAAGTTGTAAAACATAGGGGTGTTTTCTAAATGCATGATCCCACATTTGTTGAGATTAAATGGTAATCACCATCTTTTTCTCCTGATAGTTAGGTTATTGAGGTGACTTTGAATCTGGGATACACATTCGTTTAGAGCCTCAGGCTAAAAGCTGTATACTATTTTGGGATCATCATCGAATATATTTTAGACGTATATACTTTATATGAACTACTCCCCAAACCATCTTTGGTGCACATTATATTTCGTGGCTTTCAGGAAAACAATATTAGATTGAACATTAATTTGACACTTTTCAGTCGATCATCGTTGCTACATATTCATGAAGATACAAGGCTAGCTACAGCAACCACTTATGAAAATTCCATTTTATACCTGGCTTTTTCCTAACTGTAGTTCCTTAAGTCATGTCTCAATTTTTAAAATATTTTTGTCCAAGTTTATTTTTCCAGTTGTTGTATTTCTTACAAATGTGCATGTTAACCTAATTTATGCATGCGTGGTGCCATATAATCTCCATACTATTTGAATTTAGCGATTATTTGGACAGCCCTCAACGCTTTTCACTAAACTTATCATAATCGTTATTGCTATATGTATTTGCGTTCATTGATTGGGTTAACACATTAGTTGCCTAAAAAACTTTTAACGTACATTACTTCATTAAGATATCGCACTGCACTGGTATAATAACTAATTGTCACATAGTTATTAGTCGAAAAAACATTAAAAACGAACTACGGAGCCCACAATTAAAATTAGAACTATGTAAACTAATATTTCCGGATCTCAAATTGTAATATAAACAGGCAGCTCAGATCTGTTGAATTTACAAACTTCTACTATTTCAAAATCACCTAAAACAACATCAGCTATTTTCCTCTGGCTAATCCTCAATCAGCACTATAACTAGTTAAACATAATGGTTTCAGGATATCGTCATAGAGCATTGTCATGACTTAACAACCACATAATATGATTGATAAAATTGATGAAACTATTAACGAAATTGATTGCTTATATCTATGATTTCCACGTATGTTTGTGTCACTAAAACTCTAGTTAGACTGACAATGTTTTAAGATGTTTACTGAATGTGCAACTGATAAAGAAACACAGAACTCATATGTAACGGATGAGAAAACAACACTACTTAATGATGATTATAAGTCACTTTATTGAATTATCAGCATTCGATTAATTGAAGACATCATACAGTACATCATCTTTAGTGCTATTATGTGAGCTGTAATAATTTCAATACCTAATTTTGGACGGATCGATGTATAGAAGGTTTACCAAAGCTGTTATGAGGTATTCTAAGAACAACAACTCGAAGTAAAACCTCTCTGGATCAAATGTATCAAATTAAATATTGTCCTTATCTACCGGTTTATTAACGGTATTTCTTACTCATCGGTATCCACGCCTTCATAATCTATGACACCATCTCACAATCTAAGTAATAAGAAAAATATTCCAGCGATTCCAAGAACCTACACAAACGTACTATAATATTTGAAAAGAATTTGAATTATAGTATGTAACAGAAATCCCAGAAATAACGCAATTGAATCAAGAATTACGACACAAGCACGAACGAATGTATTGCATTTGGAATTCGAAATTCAGCAATCAACAAGTACAAAAGAATCATTAGTTCGTTCAAACACCACATCCGACACGGCTTAAATATGAGTATTAGTGTCTGTAATCAGTTGTACGTCTTCTTCTTAAGTTCATCCTGAGTCTGTCCGACATTGTGTTGGATAATAACTCTGTATTATCTAGAATACACTCATTAGTATTAGAATTAACAACCGAAATCGGAACAGACTCATGTGGAATTGTATACAATCAGCATGTCGGTTTTGTACCACGTGCATTGAATGAATTAGTAATTTAGGACAAAGGTGTTTTTGATAGATAGGGAGGTCGAAACGAACTTCCTACGGAAGTTGTTTCTAGGAGGAAACTAGTGTAATAACTTCGGTTGATAAATTAATAGTTGACCTCACACATCTAATTATATGACAAAACAAAAGAGCAAAAGTACTTGTGGTGGTATCGGAACCTAGTCACACGACCTTTGAAGCCAAGCATATAACTACTGAAAACACATTTATCCAACAAATGAAACGAAGAGACGGTTAACTATGAAAGACGAAGGAAGAAATTCAAATCAAACGGATGCCATGATTCAGTCTTGCAGGCGTGATCATTCTTGTGTAACTTATCACTCTTATTCATATTAAGTATATCGTCCTATTTCCAGCCTAAATGTTTTCATCATCATATATTGGTTATTGTTACGATACGATGAGTCAATGAAGACAATAACGTGACTTTCACGTAAGATCTTGTACATTAGGCAGTTAAATAATAACAAACCTACAATTTTAGGATTAGGTCTATTATTAGAGTAGTACTACTGACGAAGTAGACCATAATTCTACATATTCATTCACTACCTTATTTTGTAGTGAATGTCGAAAGGGTTTAGGCGTTCAGAAAAGACAACTCCACGTTCCAACTGCTCTGTTTCATATTCAAAAAAAAGAACTGTCCACTACTAATCGGGTTCGTTCTATCAGTAAAAGGGAAGGCACCCAACAGTACGGAACGACCACAACCTAATGGACCAGCTTATGGGGTGTAATTAATTGAAGCGCGTTGGTGGTCCTTGACCATGGTGAGGATCGATAAGCTGTTCGGTATTCATTGACCCAACTGCCGGACGATTTACGTAAGACCCAGCAACAATTCACTTGCCCTATAAAATAAATAATTACATATGCTGTAATATTTTGGTATTACCAAGATGTTTTAGTTCAACTCTTAGCCGCCCAAATTTAGTTGTTACAACAGCATCTACTCTTTTATCATTTAAAAGTATAATCAACTTTCAACCAAGTTCCATCGGCTCTGAGGGTGATTACTCACAGTGTTATTTCGCGATCACTACGAATAATAATAAATGATCTGTTTTGTTCTTCAGTTTCAGAAAGAACATAGGAAGAACCATGTCTTTCCTTTATCATTAATGCTCTCTTATCAATTTGAAGAATATCTACGGGAGATGATTTGTCAATTCTGTGAGCGAGATCTGAAGTTGGGTACACTTTATGGAGACCGATACACACATAGGTTTATGTATTTACAACTGATATTTCATTTACTCAATTAAATATCGATGTTTTAACATCCAGCTTGAACAAAAGTCATCAGAAACTTCTAGTGATAACGTGAAAATCTTGAGGTTTATTCCACACCACGGATTTCATGCACAATTACTGGATGACACCTTGAAACTCTACAACGAGAGACTTGGGACTAAAAGCCATTTAACTTGTTTCGAATAAGACCAAAAACTTGATGAATCGAGGAGAGTATTTAATGTCTCTAAGGCATTGCTGAAAATTTTAAAGGTATTATATAGCGTTCGAGTGTCTGATGCCTATCCACGCGGCAAAGCGTGTCTACATGCACTTTGGAGATTCAAAGGTTAATAGGTACAACATAGAGGAAGTGTCATTACCCGTGGTCCGGTCTCACAAGGATCTTGGGGTGACAGTGAGTCATTATCTTAAGACGACGGCCCATTGTCATGAGGTCGCAGCTAAGGGGCTTTGAACCCTCTTGGCTTTAAAACGGACACTCACTAAGTTAGATACTACCATGTTCACCATAGTATACTCATCCTAAGTGAAAACTAAGCTAGTGAACTGCCTCCAGGGTGCAAGCCCCTGTTCAAAAGGTGACTCAGATATCCTAGAACAAGTACAAAGGCCAGCTACCCTTGCAATTCCAGAACTTCGGGGTTTACCATACAAATAGCGGCTTGAAAGGCTGGACCTCTTTACTCTGTCTTATCGCAGATTAAGGGGAGATCTAATTTTGATGTACAGAATACTGATGAATGATTCTGGACCTAACTTATTCTCTCTTTCTTCACACTAGATCAGGACATCTCAGAGGACGTAGCATGTGAGTAGAAAAGCAAGGAACGAACAAAATATCCGTGGCATACAGGTTTTCACACCGAGTCATCAATACTTGGAACGTGATGCCCGGAACAGTGGTGTCCACACCTTCAATTGACTCTTTCAAAAGAAGACTGGACACTCACAGAAGCGTACTAGAAGAGGAATAACGTCGGCGGTATGCTTTCTATTCTTACTACACAAATCGGAATCGGAATCTGAAATCTGGTGTTTTAATGAATCGTCAACTTTGAAGATGACCTTGTCAAGTTTTGAAATGAGACTCTGAGCGTATGTTTGAAAGGCTATATGGGTGCAAGATGCATTCGATCAACTGGCAACCATGTTTCGTCTTTCATTTATCCATATTCGCACTTAGATTGTTACTCAGGCGATCAATTTTTGAGTCCATTGTCGTTTCATACTTATTGTACGTATCTCTTGGAGGTTGGCGCTATCAACGCATCTTTATTTTAACTATTCTCAGAGACCTCGTGTGAGTTGTTTTATTCTAGATAAAAGTTTGTGTCAATACGAATTTTTGAATTGTATTCATTGTGGTGAGACCATAATTTATGGGCGAACCAATTGAATCTAAGATAACAGGTTTCAGATTTAAGTGCAAAATTCATACACTCATTTGACTAAATACTATTTCGGCATAATTGCTGATGTCAATTCGTGATGAAAACCCTTAATCCAATTCCCAATCCTAACCATGGACTGTAAATCATAATTCCAATTCCTCACAATGCTTTATAACTCGAACGCGTTTCAGAAACGAGTGATTTGGTACTTATAAAAATCTTTGCTTTAGTGGATTTGTTTGCATGGAAAAGCATCCTTGGTTTACCACAATTTGAGGTGTTTTGGTTAGGATTTGAAATTTTGCTGAACTTTGTCTTGGGGTACCTTATTTCTGATTGACACGTTTTCACGTTTTATTTTAAACTCTAATCTGGTTACAGCGGTTCGCAGTACTTGTAAATGTAGACAACCAAATTGTATATTCCCCGTAGAAAAAGAAATGTAATGTGATGAGTGTAAAAAGGGGTTCCATGAGATGTATACCCATGAAGTCCCGTCGTGTACAAAAAATGCTTGAAGCCATACTCTCATTGTCTTTGTATACTATGCTGTACGAATAAGACGTTACTGATACATCAGGCTATGAGCCTATTAATTTTGGCCTGTAGGAATAAAGGTGGTGCTTGCCCTGGTAACACGAGTACTGACAGTGAGGAGTATGTCAGTGTAGTCTCTGCTGTTACGCGACGCGTTAAACGCTCGACTGTGATTGACGGAAAAGTAAAGTCTCCGTTAAAACTGACGAGGAGTGAAGTGCCACTTGGTATTGACAGGGGTAATAGCATACCAGCAAAAATTGAAAACTGGGATAAAACCATCACTGTTTCTAATAGTCCCGGTGTTGCTGTCCTGGGTAATGAAAAATGGACGGTAGTACGGTGAAAAAGAAGTGAAGGGAAATTAAGCTACAAGCACTACAAACTTCTTTATGAATCCACTGGTGAACTCCTATTCTGATTAAAAAATACACTACCGAGATTCGATAGTATGACAGAACTCCACCCTGGCGTGGCTGAGAATTTAGTCTCATCGAATATTATTGTGAGTAATTTGCTAGAGTTAATCGATCCTGATCCCAAAATTATGATTTGGGAAAGCTCGGAGAACTTATCCGTGGTATCTTACCAGATAACTTTAAATGAGTTCAGGTCAAAAACTTTATAAGAATAGGCGATAGGATCGATGACAGTGTTGAATCCCAACCATATAGACTCCTTAAGTCAATCCTAGTTTTGGAGAAGCAACGTGATCTGTTAAATAGCGCTCGTAGTCACGACAATATCGGCATTCGAGCAAGACACGAAGAGGATAAAATGTAGGATCTATGAACTCCTATAATAGTAGACTTCTGATAACGGTAATGGAGAATGCATTAGTACAGCGTGTATCCAGCCCTACACGTTTTGGTGCAAACCAAGGTTCTTCTGAAGATATTACCAACCAAAATACACTTCCACTGTTAGTGAATAGCGATCACGCTGTTTTGTTATTCACGGTTATTCTCGTATATAAGATGGCGAACTCAGAGAAGTGATGAAGTTCCATCACTTTTGGTACAATAAAATCCGTTAATTTTGGCAAGATATGGTGCCGGAAAAGGTGAAGCTTTATCGTAATATTTCAGTAAAGTGTTTTCTATAAGCAATAAAGAACGACCAATGATTGATTGTGATTATGGCTGCTTGTTGATGGACCCTGTGGTTATTGACAAAGGTACTTTCTTAAGAATACTTCAGCATCTCAAACCTGATAAGTCCAGTGGTTCTGATGATATTCATCCTAGGATTCTGAAAGCCCTATTGTATGTAATTGCTGAACCTATAGTCATACTGTTTGATGTGGCTTTGCGGTAGTCCAGAATGTCAAGAGACTGGAAAGACGCAATAATTAGTCCGGTGTATAAGACGGAGTGTAGGAATTTAGTTAGTAACTATAGACCCGTTAGTCTAATCATTGCAGTTGTATAACTAATGTGAAATATTCAGATGGCTGTTATAAACTATGTGGAACGGCGTAATCTTTTATCCAGGGAACAACATGGTTTTCGGAAAGGCCCATCCTGTTTGACAAGTCTGCTCGTTACAAAAGAAGATTGGTCTACGGCAAGAGGTCGAAATGTTCCTGTAGATGTAATTTTCATGGATCTAAGTTAAGCTTTTGATAAGGTCTCCAATTCGGGTCTTAAGTTATAACTGGAAAGTTTTGGATTCCATTATGAGGTCATAGACTGGATAAATGACTTTCTCTATGACAGGACACAGGGTAAAGGTAAATGGAGCTCTTTCGTCATGGGAACCTGTAAAAAGTGGAGTTCTTCAAGACACAATCCTTTGTAATCTTCTCTTCTTACTTTATGTAAATAAATTACCAACTGTAGCTAAGTCATCCGTTCTACTCTTCGCCGATGACAAAAATATTTGGAGACCCATACACAGTCACATAGAATAGTATTACAGGATGATCTCAACTCGTTGGTGGCATGGATGGACGGATGTTCGCTAGAAGTGAATTCCAACAAGAGTGTGGTGATGTAATTCAATAACTATGCTGATTTGTATCACTACACAATACGCGGTCTCAAAACTACGAGTAACTGTAAGGCTGCTGCTGGAAAAGGCTATAGGGTATTATGGGCTATTCGTAGGTCTTTTCAGTATTTGGATGAATAAATGTTTAGAGTATTGTGCTCGACTTTCATGAAACCGCATTTGGAATATGGGATTCAAGCAGAGAGTCCTTGTTTCAAGTGTGAGGCGGTTATGCTGGAACGAGTCAATCGATGAGAGACTAAAATGGTTTAATGTCTCTCTGGTCTATCTTATGAAGATAGACATCCAATATGAGCTAGAACCCAAATGTTAACAGTACTCAAGTTATATTGAAGTGTAAAAATCTGCCCATCACTCCCGTTTTATGTTCTTACCAGGAATCATCGTGCTGGTCTTTTTATTGATAGTGTCACTGACTGTAATGATGATGATATTCGGTCGTCTTATAATGCATATTATAGTTATTCTCGTAACTTACTACTTTCATTAACATGCACGGCATATTTTTGAGTTCTTTTAAAATTATGGCTTCAGCCATATTTCAGCATCGTCAGCTTATTTCATTCTGTGGCTATCAGTAAAAACGAATCAGTCAGTCACAAATTACCTTTAAATGTCAGTTATGCAAATGTGTTATATTTCAAACACATCAGTCTGTGATTTATTTATTTATTTGAAGACAAATATTGGTACAATGGGGCATCAAATACATATGCGCCATTCAATAACAATCAGAACGTGAAGAGATAGGGAATGTAAAGTTCGTATAAGAAAAACGAGAACAATAACGAATAGATTTTAGTGTATGATGAAATAATAATAATAATAATAATAATAATAATAATAATTCTCCCAGTTAAAGAAGTTACGTTCATTTTTTATGAAGAGATTTACGACTGGATCGTCATATCTGATAACGTCTCTAGCCTCTGTGTTGCATCATCTCTAGGACAGCACCGTCTTTGTGATGACTTACAGCTCGGTTCGATGTTTCCTAAAACTCAAGGTTACTCACTCGATGGATAATAACTGGAACCTGTGTACGTCCTTTACTTTTCAGATACAAAACTTAGTCACTACAAAAATCGTATCAAATAACCTTTGTCGGTCTATTTTCATGGTGTAGTCCAGAGATATCAGTAGTATCAGGTGTCCGAATTCGGCGTTATGGTATATAATAAAGAAATCTGAACGCATCCTACCCTTGGCAGACCAATCAATAGGTGATAAAGCCACCAGCGAATTTATTGTTTGTTGACTAATCGGAGTTTGTGCTACTAATTGTTCCTTCTTTTTCTAACTTGATTGAACTTCCCTTTAGTTTCGTAGTTTAGATCTAAGGACTTTAATGTGTATTATCAGACCTACGTTTATATGTTCATCTATCCAGACATCTGATTAGGAATTTCGTGTTTTGAATGTTTACAATTTGATGCACAATACGACTGTTTTAGTCTGGATAATGAGAAAATATTGTTTGTTCAATAGGGGACTACGATGCATACTCATGGTTCAGTTAAATGTTCTCTGGCTCCAATGGACGAAACGAACTTTTTCCGACATGTTTGAATATACTGTAAAAAAACGGGGACCAGAAAATGTTGCTATTTATTTTGAGGACCAAGTATGGACCTTTGGGCAGCTGGATGCGTATTCAAATAAAGTAGCCAATTATCTGGCGAAATGTGGCTTTAAACGAGGCGATGTATTACTACTGTTTATGAATTCCTGTCCGGCATATATTGGAATATGGCTAGGAGCAACTAAGGTAGGTTATCAGTTTCTTTAAAAGTTTATTTCGTGTTGTGGAAGTGATTTCTGTGATATTATCCCACTAATTTCATGTGTTACTTGGTAGTCATACTAATGTGTGTAGTTTAACCTACCGAAGCGTTTACTTTGTGCGTTTATAGTCTTCAAGGCCGCCACAATACACCTGAAATCATCGGTGTATGGCCTGCATGTCTTCTGTACCAAGTCAATGAACATTGGTGTTAAAAATGAACCCCTGATGTTTCACTAATTTTGAAGATTGATATTTCCTAGCTTCGGACTAAAATTTCATATATACATGGTAATACAGGTATGGTTTAATTATGAAGTTCACCTAGTCATTTAGTAACAGTGAGGGCATCACGTAGATGCACTGTTTCAATAAAAGTATCGGACAAAATTGTATCAGTAATCTGCTGGAAGCTTACAAGAGCAGTATTAATTCGGAAGGATAATTGACTGTTTTGGAGTATACCGCGATGTGTTATTGCTTAACAATTCTCAGGGCTTAGAAATCACTTCTATTTAGAGGTAAAGATCCAACTAAACTAGTTTTGCCGAAGTAATCATTATTTGGAATTTTTAACAGACTCCAAAGCTTGAAATAGACAATAGTGCTGCTTACTTGTAGTACTAAGACTAGTGGGGAGATCACATATGTGTAATGAGCCATTTATCATGAAATGATGTTCAAGATGAGTAGTTTGTCATACTATACTCCACTGAAGTTATGCACTCTCAGTTTCTTATAGATCAACACTAGGAACTGGTCGTTTTTGACTCAACATAAAGGACATCAGATTTTAAGTACGAGTCTACTGACGTCAAAGAATAATAGACAATATTGACTTGGCAAAACAGAGAACAATTTTAGCAGTTTTAGAGGTTGATTTTCAAATTTGGTGTAGCTATTCTCTAGATTACTCATAATACACCTTAAAGATGGCAATAAAACCAATCGAAACTTAGTTCAGTATATGCTAGGTGAGGTTTACCTGTAAAGAGATACGGAATATTTTACTTAAATTGATAGGACATCTGTATAGTACACGCATCTAAGAAAACCGGTTTCTCGCTAATAATTGGTTTTCAGAAAACATTTATTTACTCTCTTAATTTAACAGGTCGGTGTTGCAACTGGTCTGATAAATACTAATCTTTGTAAAGGATCACTTATGAATTGTATTAAAACGCTGAGTGCACGTGGAATAGTTGTGGGTTCCTCTTTGAAAGAAACTTTTGAAACGGTCAATGAGTATAATGATTTATCATTAGAGATGATATGGTTAGTTGATGAGAAAAGAAGTTTACCAGAAACTGCCTATTCTAATTCAACTTCTTCAACGTATAGCTGGAACATGGCACTTGCACAAGTATCACACTGTGCTCCGATTCCACTTCCACGAATCGCTAATCTTCGTGAACATTTGATCTACGTCTATACCAGTGGTACGACTGGTTTGCCTAAGGTAGTTAAAAGCTATGTTTACATCGTTTTCATTATTTCATTTTTATTACAGAATAAAATAATTTTTAACATGCTAGCTTCCATAACTATTCAGTACTTTATCACAGCTCAGTTTTCGACTTGGCTTTTTTTGACGGTGTTCATCTTTAATCAGGTTATATAACATAAATGTATTTACTACCGTCCAGATGTAGTTAAGTTTTATACATTCCCTTTTTCTTTATAAATTTTTGTTAAAATCTAATGTAGATTCATTTGTTAATGGATTATTTTCATCAGCTCAAAATCTTAAAAGACTAATATTCAGAACATTTCATATCAGGAAATTTTTGATTGAGTTTGAGGTTAACAAGTAGTTATAGATTAGTAAAGACTTTTATTGTGGAACGATTAAAATAGTCATCCATATGGTTGTATATTTATAGATTAACTCTATATGCAATATCTTGCTGGTTTTTTTTAAAAGATTTAATCACTTTAAAAGTAATTACTATTGACCATTTACATTTGAAGAAACCTTTAGAATTATGAAGTATTAAACATATTTTCACATATATTTGCAAATAATGAAGAATGTGCTCGACAGTTAGATTTTATATTGTAAAAGTTACATTTAATTTGCGGGTCAAGTTGTTTACGATTCATTTAACTAGTTAAATTGTAATATATTTCTTTTCGTGAAGTTATACTTCTAATTAATAACTATTCTATGAATGAAAATAACCTATAAATAGGCTAAATAACTTAAGATCGGGATTAAATGTAATGGTAATTTGATTTAATATCTAAATATTGATTGGTGTTTGGTAGAGGTTGTCAAATAGGTCTAAAAAAGATAAAGATTGAAAACTCAATAACTCATCCCATTAAACTAAGTAACTAAAAATTTTCTACGATGAAAATTTAAAAAATAAATAACATGTAGATTTATATTGATCATTGCTGGTACTTTACTGGATCAAAGACTGCATTGAATTTCAAATGTACATGTAAAACACACCTCATACTCCGGTTTGAATACATTTTATTTCCTTATTTCCAAGTTTACTATTTATTTATCACCTCATCTATATCAATACAGGCTGCTATTATAACGAAATTACGCTACACTCTATTGGTTGTTGGTGCTAAATACTCATTTGGTATTAGGCAATCCGATATTATATATGATCCTCTACCGTTATATCATTCAGCTGGTGGAATATGTGGAGTCGGACAAATGTTATTATATGGTAATACAATTGTAATAAGATCGAAATTCTCTGCATCACAGTTTTGGTCAGATTGCGTAAAATATAAATGCACAGTAAGTTATTGCTATTATTATTATTTATTTATTTAGTTAGTTACTATGTTTTAAGATATTGACATTTTTTCGATATTTACTATTTTTAAATTGACATTTTACTAGTCATTTGTTTGTTTCGCTAAACAGTTTATTATCGATATCTCTAACCACAATGTTCATCTTATTTATACCCAGTTAGTCCAATCATAAACAAAATAGAACCTATCAATTATGTGCATCGTTTAAAGTTATTGCACTAAATTAAAACGGCGAAATGGCATTAAAATGAATACCAAAGTAGTAGTAGTAGTAGTAGTAGTATCAGTGATAAAAAAATAATCAGGCATAGATAATGGATAAATTCACAGGATTAAAGGTATAAAATAGTTTTGAAACTTGGAATCTAGTCAGATAAAGAGTGAGTGCATCTAAGCTGTATCATCTATTCTAAAGAATATGAACGGAATAACAGAAATTACACGATTATGGATCTTACGCAAATATTTTATACATAACGAGCAATGGTGTAATAACGCTTTACTCGAGAACTCAAGGAAGATCGAAGAAAGAAAGACTGATCTTTACGACAAAGCTTCATTTTTGAGAACAAGGAATTGTACTAATAACCACTGCTGATTAAATTATGCCTGAATTACCTTAGAAAATATAATACTTTACCTAATACGGTAATAATAAGATTTAAGTACTGATTGAGAGAAATGAACAAAAGTAGACTTGTGTTTGGTTTTTACGTCAGTGCACAGATTGATACGGAAAGACGGTAAGTTAAGTAATAATAATAATAATAATAATAATAATAATACTTTTGGTAACCTCATGATCTATTATCTTATGACGTAACAAACTCTCTAAGTTGCGTTCAGTGGTCCGACAAGCTTAAATATTCGTCATTCCATCATTTTTTCTTTATTGACAACCAGTTTTTGAAATGAAGATTAGTTAAAAATGTAATGTCATCACTAACCCATTCAACACATGTTCCGAAGAACCTGATGCTGCGAGGGACTAGGATTCTCGACAGTGCAATAGCCCGGCATTTACTTGACACCGGGCATACCATCGACATCCCGAACGCCTTTAAAATTATCAACAGATAAAGAAGTACGACTGCTCTCCGTTTCGCTGAAGCAATCGTGATAAAAAAAACTTAAACCGGATTTATGTATTCAAAAAGAGACATTAATAAACCTATTATTACCCTGGTAATCCAATTTTTTGTTATTTAGGTTATTTTGTTCATTTATTTATTTTAAAATATTTACTTTGTGCTATATTCTTCCCCCATTACCTAATTCTTAAACCAACTTTTCATTTACACATTTCCGCTCACTTGATCCTCTTAAATTATGTTAACTTTCCAAATTCTATTTACTTATTACATAACCTATCTTATCACTAAAAAGAAGAATATATTTGTAAAATCTCAGCGAATGAATTTTTAAGTAAATGTAACGTTTCGCCTGGCAATCTGGTTCAAGCTTTTCCAAGGAAAATATAATCAAACAACACAATTATCGAATAGAAATAGGTACAAGGTTCTTCGGTTTACTGTATACTGAATAAGTCATCCAATCAACGTGAAGGATTTTTATATAAATAGGTATTTATAATAATGTGTAAGAGATATGTTTATATGAAAATAATAAAGTTCATTTGAAAATAATCAAGGGTAGAAAAAGAATAAGAAATTCTTCTTTTTAATGTCTCACATTAACTCGGCGCCCAAATATTGTGAAACTATTCGTTCAAATTTAGACGAAAGTTCTTATCTATCTTATCACTGTTTTAATTCTATGAATCCTTTATTACCTTTAAAATTATCACACAATTTATCTTATCTGTCTTTGAACTCCACTCAACTATTACACCATCCATCCTTAATGTTTCTTTGATTATAACACCTAATAACCTCTGACCTGTTCTTGCATATATATATATGTATATAGTTATCATTGTAAACCTTTGTCATCCCAGTTATTTACATTCATTAATGTCAATTGATTCACACTATTTCTTATCTCAATGTAAAATTCGATTACATATTTGGTTGTAAGCAACTGACGAGAAACCTCGAAATATTATGAATTCATACTATTCTGCATCAATATTTGTTCTTGCTTTATTTAAATACCATTCAACACATTTTTTTTTGAAGAAAATACTGAAATTCCTAAAAACAAGTCACGATTAAATATGTTTTAAATAAATCAGTACTTCCTTGAAACGATCACTTAACTTTCAACCACTCAATTATTAATTCAAATATCTAAATTTATTATTATCAGTCAAAATCCCACAAAAGAAAGTTAGTAATAAATAGACGTAGTTTACAGTGTATTATGTGAAATGAATTATCTGAAGTTTGTGCTGATGTCGTTCAGAAGAACGATGAAAGCTCCACGAGCAAACCATCCAACTCAGAGAACAAAACTCTGCCAAAAAAGATCTATTCTAACATCCTTCCATATCAATGGTAATAATCATTGGTTGTGGTGGAAATAATTGACTACTTATTGAAATATAAACTAATCAAAATATATATTATAATAATGAATAGATTAGATTGTTATATGCTTAAATCTTTGTATAGATCATAGATTATAGCTGTATTGATTTTAAAATAAAAAATGACATTATCAATTATGATAAGTGAACAATTTAGGTTATAATGATTTGTGAACGGTTAACCTACAAAAGACAATTTAAACAAACAAAACTCTCTAATTACTAGAACAAATTGTTATTTCACTCTTTTTTTTTCTCCCTTTATTGATTACTACTTTGGAATAGCCTTATTCATTCATCTATGTATATGTTGTCAGTGTCCTAGTTAATTACATTTATTCATTGTTACATATCTAATTAATATTATCAGAGGGTATACGAGAAAAAAAGTGTAGTCATTTATTACTTATTAACAATGTATCATATTATCAAAGTTCATTTTGTTTAGAATTGATTAATGTACAAATCTGTTGTGTAATCAACACGTTTAATGCAAAACGTTTTTTGATATTATTCATAAAAGTTAAGTGATTAAAAATTTTAAAAAAAATAAACAGTAGGTTATAAACTCTTTATGTCAATCATTTCATCAGTATGATTAATTTACAAATAAAAATTCGAATAGATGAATATTTGTCTTGATACGAATTACCGGATGACATCGATTGTTTTACACTTTCAATATTATCTAAATGATAATTCCATATTTTATCAATGGTTTTCTTAGGGAGCCATATCCGGAATCTTCGACCTAAAGATTTGATTCATAAAACAGTGGAACAACGTCAGGAGATGCAGTCCCATGGTAGCCAATGACCAACAATTGGTTGAAACGTCATTTGTTCTTTAAGGATCATGAAGCCCATGTACACCATTGGTTTGGAATCAGGGTTTTCCAACTTCCCTGGGTAGACTCTCCGTGTCCACCAACCCGGTTAAAGCGCCGGACATTCGCTTTTCATCCTTTCAATTTCGTAAACAACAATAATGTCGAGAGTAGGCAGTGAGTAGGATTTCCTGTCAGTGGTTGTATGCACATGGTCATGTGAGAACATTTCAAGAGGGAGAGCGGACTCTCCCCACTCTCGAACGTACCAGGCCAGGACTTATAAAATTCATATATTTCATATATTTAGTTCATCAAATAAAGTATCTATTAATGTGAGGATTTGAAAAAAAACCCAACTAAAAGCGTATACAATCAATTTAGGGTAGAAAAAAAATATATATCTATACATGATATTCGAAAGTGAAAATACAAACTTACCTTAATTATATTAGTTTTAAGCAAAGATACATTTGTTTTTTACCTATTTACACTAATGAACATACGAATAGTTTCTTAATATAATTTCAGATTTTTATTGGAAAGTTTCAATTTCTAGTTTTATTCTTCTAAGAGTAAGTCATTGGTATTTTCTGTCTCTTAAAGGTAGATTTTCAATACCTTAAATGTAGTCACTAGATATGGAAACGAAAACATGAATTTAGTGTTTCCCATCTTATTTATATATTCGGTTTTTTACATGATAGAACAGAAAGAAAATACATTTCGATAGTCCAATGAGAAGATGAAGTTTATCAGAATTATGTGGTGATATATTAGCGCATTACATTTTGAACAATCTGATCACAAATATACTTGTTAAGACATTTTTATATGAAAATGAAAGGTCAACTAGACAGGTTAAAGGTAAGCCATAACAAAGAGAAAAAAAACTAAAGTACACAAGAACAATGTGATTACCACTCCGGATAATAAATCAGTATTATACACATAGTTCCCTTTATCATTTTGAAAAGAGCAAGCACAAACATTCTAGCAGAATAGCATGAATTCATTTTTATCTCGTTGGTTCTCGTCAGCTACTTACAACCTGTGATATTTAAAATCATAATTACATAATGGGTTTAAATTACTTACTTAATTGACCGTAATAACTTCAGTATTGTTTTCTTTACGCTTTTTATATGTGTCAATCAACTTTTATGGGTAAAAGTTGTCTCGTAGGCATTTTTCCACGTTCATCAATTCTTCCAGTTTGTCAGTGTAAGCGTAAAGAAAACAATACTGAAGTTATTACGGTCAATAAAAAACCAATAACTATAAATCTCAACTTCAAAGGTGATGATGTTGCAAACACAATCAACAGAAGACTGAATACTGCGCTAGCCAGAACATATCCGTCGACCAAACTTTTAATTCTGTATAAAACAACATGTTCAATAACTCAATCAAAGGTTGATAAGCATCCTTTTCATGTTACCGCCAATTGTATTTATAAATTTACGTGTACCTGCCAAAGCAGCTACATTGGCCGAACAGAAAGGAGGGCATATCTCAGATTTTTTGAACATATTCCAAAAAGTCTCAGAACAAGAGAAAAGAAGACTCTAAATAGTGCAATCACCAAACATCTCCTTGATACAGGACATCAGGTCGATACCCTATAATCATTCAAGGTGATTAGTAAGCAGCCAAACTCCAGTCT